CTGCAGTCTACCCTAAACCAATATCAACAAACCAGCTACCGAAAACTTTAAAGATTAAGTATTACATTGATAAATGGCATTTCTTTCGAGCCGAAGGAAAAGTTCCCAGCTGTTGGTACAACCTACACTCTAGGGACAGAGGCGTGTGCAAGATAAATTGTGGGTTTGTTTGAAATTATCCCAACTTTAGATTATTGTACAGTAATTTTGATGAAACTTAGTTCTTAATTATCTTCAAGTTAAAATTAGAAGTGGATTAGTTTAACGGCTATCCACTGAGCGATGATTTATATATTGTTGATATTATCTGCGACATAATAATTTTAAATATAGAATGGTATACATATATTAATACGTGAGGAAAAGCTATGTACCCCTTTTTACGAAAATTGCGCGGACGTAGGAGTATCAAAATTTCCCACAATTATCCTTACTAATATTATAAATGGGAAAATAACTCTGTCTGTCTGTCTGTCTCGCTTTCAAGCCAAAACTATTGTATGTAATTTCATTTAAAAAACCGATTTAAATGAAATTTCTTACATACAGATTGTCTAGACCCTAAGAAAAGACATAGGCTACTTTTTAATGAGAAAAAAGGGTAGTAAGGGGTTAAAAGGGGAGATGAAAGTTTGTTTGTATGAATAGGTACTCTTATAACTCGCGTACGAAGTCGCGGACACAGCTAGTAGTTTATATAGAGAAGAAGCGCAGAATGCAAATATTTTTTTACTAGCATGTGCATAGAAAATACATTAATTAACAAAAAAAATTACAGACACTACTATATATTGGACACACTTACGCATATATACTCTTTTATGTACTGCCTGTGAGACTGACTATTATTATACAGAGATATATAGTGCGTGTGATTTTAAAGGTATACTTATATAATTAAGTATAATCAAATATGATGATGATGGTGAAGTATAAGTAGTGGACTGCAGTGGTCTGATGATGATAATGAAGAGGTGTAACCAGAAATAGAAAAAAAGTTGTTAATACATTCCGAACTTTGATGTTTCCTGCGGTTGGTTACTTGAGAATTAAGGGACAAAATGTTACTAATATTATAAACGCGTAATTTTGTGATTATGGATAGATAAATAGATGATGATGATGTTTGTTATTCTTTCACACAAAAACTTAATGAAACTTTCAATAATATAGCTTATATAGCAGAATAATACAAAGAGTAACAGAATATAAATTTCACGCGGCTGAAAGCGCTGGCACAGCTAAGTGTTGCTGTGCCAGCGCCAGCGTTGCTAAATTTAATAAATTTAATAATATATCTTATATTACTAAATTTCAATTAAATGCTTATTCTCTTTAAACCCCATTGGTTCACAAACATCGCAAGAAATGTCCTTACAAACTTTCACATTAGCAATTTCATTCGGATACAGGAAATTGTCTGTACTAATATATACGTGTGCATTATTCTCGTCCCTTACTTCTCGTAAAGTTAAGCCTTAAAGCCTTCTTGTGTCTCCTTTTAACTGCAATGTCGATAGGACAGGCTATTTCCCTTTCATCCGGGATTATTTACAATGTCTTCATTCTCTTTTGAAGTGTGTGCTTCAAGCCTGACCTTAAGTGTACTATGTGATTTATTATAGTTGATGCATAGTATACCAGATAAACTGACATTGTTTATCTTTATCAATACTTTCAATTCACCGTCTACATTCTTATTTAACTTTCTATTCGTCACTTCATTTGGTTGGAATTTCATTTTTATTAATCAAAATAAATAAAAAAAATTAAAATACAAGTATCCTAAGTAACTCCTTATAACTTTAGCTATCTGCGACTGAAAAAATAGGTCCAACCGTTTCAGAGCTTAGCAACACTTGACAGACAGACAGACAAAAATGTATGAATTTAATTTTTCGATAAATGTTTCGATCATTTCACTAAATTCATATATACTCTAATATAAATTTAGTGAAAAGCCATTAATTTAAAAATACAAACAGACACTTCAATTTTATTTATGGCATCGCAGCTTTAGATTTTTTATTTACTGTTGTTGATTGATTTGATTGTCAAACAAAAGATCGATGGTACAATGATTTTTAAAATATTATATATACTTTCATATTGTAAGGTATCTTGTACCTATCCTTCTAAGAGAAATTCCAACATCTATATGGAACAAGTTCGTAAACATGCAAATCTGATAATAATTTTGTAATACAATTGTCTTCACCCAAAATCGTAATAGCTTGTTTGAAGTAATTTAGATTTTAAAGTTCCAGGTGCAAAGTTGGATAACAAACGTTGTTATAATTGCTTTTGGACTAAAACAATTTGTAATCTCTTAAAGTAGGATGTAACTTTTTAAAGATATCGCAGTTTGGAAGTTTTAAAGCAATTAGCAATTTAAAAGAGCAACTCGATGCTATCGTAGTAGATTTTTTTTTAAAACAACCCTGAATAGTCCCTAAAGGTTCATAATCTGGTCAATACCAAACGAAAATTTTGTGTTTCAATTTGGATTTTCGACGAGTCTCTGTAGGAAAGGGAAGGAAGCATTATGTCGTCTCTAGCGCACACTGCTGTCGTCTTGCGGGCATTAAGCTGTGGACGGCCAGTGAAAACAGTAGTGTGTGTTTGTAGCCGATAATTTGGAAGTCACGCAGTACACTTTCCTATTGTATTCACTCACTATTATGCTAGTTAGTTGTTCATTGACCATTAAGACCAAAATATACTCTCGAATGTATCTCTCCGCTAGTTGCTTTTGTTACATCACCTATCGATGATGTGGCGTGAGGCACCATAAACTAACCACAGACATTATTCATTCTAGAAAGGTAGTGCGGAAAATATGGCGCTGGTATCTCCACGGCAGAACTTAGTGGCGCCCTCTATCAAATTTCTTACGATAGTGTCAACAACCCCTTTTTTACTTCATTTATAAAACAATATTTATTGAAAATCATGAAGCTTCTATGATGGAACTAAATTCTGAGAGAATCGTTGTGGTAGCTCTCTGTCGTATTTAATTCAAGTATACCGAAATTAATGTGGTTTTCATCACCACTTCTAGTTGAGAACACCCCTGATAACTGTATTTGGAATAACAAGCGTAAAAAGAAAAGTATATTTACTGTATTTATCAAAATTTTCTCATTCTTTAATTGACTTTACCTACCTAATTTAGTTTAAATCAAGTTAATATAGAGATTGTTGTTGTTGATTAGCTGGGATTCAAGTACAACTAGGAATATAGCTCATATTTACATTACCAGCTAGCAATTAAAAAAACTTGAGACGGAAAACTCACAGTAATTTTGCGAGTATAATTATTTCAGTCTTTATACCAACTAACATTGCAAACCGGCATTCAAACTAATTAGTGAATGCCTTAATGAGCGAGATAAAGTCACATGTGCAGACGACTTTGTATATTTAATTAGATTAGATTTTTTTTTTTCAATATTTAAATTGAACATATAGTTGAACCAACTAAAAAACATGTACCAAGTGAAAGTCTTGCCAGTTCTTCTCAAATTAAGTAGCTAGCCGAACTGGACGGTTGGAATAGCGATAGAAAATATGAAATACCCAAGAAGCCGAAATGTCCTATGTGAAGAAATTACTTTGAGTTTAATATTTCATATAATAATATTAATAATCTCAGGACAATTCACACAGCGCCCTCTAGATGCAAGTTAAGCTATCTAAAACTTGTGTTATGGCTACTAGATAACTGATACAAATATATAGATACTTTTTTTTTCGTAAATACATACATATTATACATAGAAGCACCCAGACCGATACAAAAAATCATACTCATAAATACAAATGTTTGTGACGTGCGAGGAATCGAACCCGCGGCTATCGGAAGTAAGGCGGTGTGCTAAACCGCTAGACCACCGAGGCCGACATAATATCTCAACTTTTCTTCTATAGTTACTAATTACTCGTACCTACTGATTAAAATGATTAGAGTGTAATGCTAGTACGCAGAATGTGTGTTATTTCTGTGGATTATGGATTGGTTTCCCCAATCCGCTCTTGTTTTAATACCGGCGTTGCACGAATGATGATGAAATTCGGTAATATTTGCGAGGAAAGCAATGAATACGTAATAGGTTCACATACACGCTCCCGGAGTTCAATTGTGATTTTGTCTTACATGACTCCCTAATTGAGATGTTGAATCTTATTATGTATTAGATAAATGTAATTGTGTTTACAATTTGATTTTGTAATCTTCACTTCATTCATGCGAAATAATATTATCTATAAATTATCTATCAAAAACCTTATACAAATTTTATATATATACTTATACAAAAACTTTTCGAAATTTGCGCAAACGGAGAAGTATGATTTCACACACTTATCTACGAGTATACTAATATTATAAAGCTTAAGAGTTTGTTTGTTTGAACGCGCTAATCTCAGGAACTACTCATTCGAATTGAATAGTTATTTTTGTGTTAGATAGTTCATTTGTCGAGGAAGGCTTTAAGCTACATAACATTACGCTACGACCAATAGGAACGGAGCTGCAATGAAAAATATTGCAAAAGGTGCGGAAATGAACACGCAGACGAAGTTGCGCGGGCCAGCTAGTAGTTTATATAAAGAAGGAGTTTTGTTCCAAATTTCTTTCTATTCTTTCCAATTTTACTTACGATGGTCGCAGGTTGGATTCCTCGCACGGTATAAAAATATGTTTTCATGAGTATGATTGTTTATATTAGTCTGGGTATTTTATAGGTGTATTATGTATGTATTTACAAAAAAAATGTATCTACGTATTTATATCCCTTGTCTAGTACTCATAACAAGCTCTTAGTATGGTACTAGATGGCGCTATGTGAATTGTCCAGGAATATTATTTATTATTATTATTATATTAATAATTGTCTAAGAGTGATTAAGAAATAAATAATAATATTAAACAGACATTTTATAATATTGGATAGGTGTAAGTATCATTATCGATTTTAACATAATCTCTCTTGTTATAGCCGAGTGTGCACCAGCTCTAGCACCATGGAAACCACCAAATGAAGTCACTACTAGTGAATCCAATCACAACAACGACGCACATGGCATATACGATATAAACGATATTGTACACTTCGAAGACAATGATATAGTCATGCGAGACGCTAAAACACAGGAACAAAACAATTTAGATAACTCGGTTGAACAGTTCAAAAACTACAGAATGGCAAAAGACGTTACAAAAATAAAAAGTGAAAAAGATACTAAAATTAATGATATTAATAATGATGTGAGCAATGATTTAAATAGTGATAACGATAAAGCGATGAGAACGGCTAAAGTTGATGATAAATGCGAATGTCATCATGGCGGCGGTTGTGTTGGCGGTGTGTGTTTGTGTCCGTTGGGATATGCTGGAGAGAAGTGCGAAATTACTTTGGACCTAAAGGTAATAATAATAAAATTGATTTTAATTTAAATTTTTACTTTATATTTTTTTGACAGAATAACTTACAATAATACAGGGAGCATATTCCAAACGATCAGGGTGAACAGCTTGGTTCCTTGTCTACAAATTCTGAAAGCCAAAAAGCTTAGAAAGTGACATTTTCAAACATTAAATCGAAGTTATTCTACATACATGACCTACATATTCTTCACTCTTGAGTAATATTGCTACAGTATGAAATTAAAAATTTAATTTCAGATATGTTTTTCTATAATTTTTTTCTTCAAAGACCACGTCACATATGATATGGAAATATATAAAAAACATATGCATATCTTTCGTAATACTTAATATAATTATCATAATCTTGAATTTCAATAAGCATAATTATATTTCATAAAAACTAAAGATAATTATCATAATAATTTTAATTTCAGGTTCCACGTTTTAACGGGTCTTCATACCTCCGTCTACCAGGTCTCGGCAACTCCGCGCAGTCGTGGCTGGATATACAAGTAAGTGCATATTTTATATTACTTAAATATATTACAAATTACCCCGGTAGACCTTGTAAAAAGTCGTTGCGTATTACCTTAGTTTCACCTATTTCATCCGCTTAGCAGTTTGCTTTGTAAGATGTGTTCTAGTTAAAGGGTGTCATGAAGCAGTGAAATTGCTTGAATAAGATAACATTCAAGTCCATAGTGTTGTCCATGTACATAGGCGAAGATTACCACTTAGGATCAGCTAACTAGCAATAAACTATAATGTTAATATATGCATAACTCGAAAGTTAGGAGCTTGGGCAAAGCCAAGAATAGCCACTAATGTATGTAGATCTTTAAATAGTATAAAATTAAGTCACTTCCGCTGTCTGTTCGCTTAGATCTTTTAAACTACGCAATGGATTTTGAGGCAGTTTTTAGCAATACATAGAAAGTTTCAAGAGAAACAATACAATTACACCCGTGCAAAGCTGGAGCGGGTAGCTGGTAATTTTATAAAGCAAATTCAGTAACAATTTGTAATAAAGTAATCACTAATCTGGATTATTAATAAGCAAAATACAGTTTGAATATTGTCTCGTTAACGTCTTAGTAGAATAATCTGAATCTATAATGGTTCTGTTTATTATATCAATTAGATCAATACATAAAGTTGAAGAGTTCATTTGCTTGTTTGGTCGAACTTATCTTAGGGACTACAGATTCCAATCGTACTTCCAGATTATTTGTATTGGTTTAGATATTCTCTATGTATATTATACCTATATATTTGTAAATTGTGTTTAAATATTTCTATCAGTTATTATTATTTCTATCATTTAGTAGTCATACCTTAGTTTAGGACGAGATTGCACTGGGTATGTGAATTTTCCTAGGTTTTATATTATTACTAGCTGTTCCCGCGGTTTCATCCGCCTGAAATTTATAGCCTATATGTTATTCTGATGTATAAGCTATATTACTGTAAAGTTTCATTAAAATTAATTCAGTTGGTTTTGGTAAAGAGTAACAAACATCTATTCATACTCACAAACTTTCGCGTTTATAATATTAATAAGATTTTGCTAAAAAATGTTTATAAACATCCAACTTAAATATTAAATCCTTTACTAACTAAATATTTTCATAATAAACATGCCCGAATATTTTTTGTAACTTTTTCGTTTTTATAAACAAAACGGGCCCCTTAACCACATCACAGTTCTCATAAATAAACTCGGTAAGTGCTAGTAAAACAAAGTAATAAGCCGACTTTACACATATATTTTTAAACAAGCAAAAGTTTCCCGTGGTCGTTTAAAAGCTTTCGCGAAAAAATAATTTGTTTAAGGGGAAAAAATGTTGGCGAAACCTGACTAACGCCACGCGACAGCTTGCCGAGTTATGAAATAAATTGGTCCTGGCTTAACGTCTGTCACGAATGTTCGTCTACGCATTTTTTGATGTAAATATACATTAGAATACTTAACGCAAATGCAGCTTTTTAATTTACTGCTTCCTTTTGATGTATTAGTTAATATTTTGCTGGCGAAATAATGCTGGTTTTATTAATTCTCCAGGTGTCGTCAAGATTATTTAAATTTATAGTCATGGTTTTTGAGTATTTTTTTTAAATATATTAAATACTTTTACTTTTTGTATATATAAATGGTATTTAACTGTGTCATTTATCTTAATAATATGTATTATTAGATTTCACCGCCTTATTAGGTATCTCTGATCAGCTACGGTTGACTTGTAGGGAATACCATCAGGTATTAAGTCCACCACGTATACAATTTTCTGTACCAAAGAATAAATAAATAAAATTATTTATCTGTCTTTCCCAGATAACTCTCAAACCGACTGACGGCGATGGCTTGGTGCTGTACAACTCCGAACATGCGAGCGGAGACGGAGATTTCTTCTCCCTCCACCTCAGAGATTACTTCGTGGAGTTCGCTTTCGATCTTGGCTCTGGTATTGCATTGGTCAGGTTAGTGAAATACCATATGATATTGACAAATAATATAAAATGTTGAATGGAATGCGAGATAGGGTAGACAGGGTGTGATGTTTTTATTTAATATTTTATTTTTGTATATAAACCTTTAGAAACTGTAGTATATATTTCTCTTTCTCTTCTCTCTTTCAGCATAAAGTAATCCACTACTGGACGTATGCCTCTAGCATAGTTTTCCACTAATTCTATCTGTGGCGCACCTTGTCCAGGTCTGCCCTGCCGGGTTCCTGATGTCATCAGACCATCTGGCGGTTGGCGTGCCTACGCTTCTGCTTCCGATCCTAGGTCGCCACATTAGGGATCTGTATGTCGTTATTACTTGGACATACATACATCCAAAGAATCGCGCAACTACACTTTAGTTGCGCGATTCTTTGGATGATGTCGCTAACTCCAGTGCGCCTTCTGATCTCAGTATTTCGCAGTCTGTCTCATAGGGAGATACCGAGCATAGATCGCTCCATTGCTCTTTGGGTGACTTGTAGCTTGTTGACCCTTTCGGCGGTTAGTGTCCACGTTTTGCAAGCGTATGTTATCACTGGTAGGACGCATTGCTTGTATAATCTTGTTTTCAATATTTGCGTGATCTTAGATTTGAAAACATCTTTGAGTTTACTAAAAGCACCCCATCCTAACTGAATTCGCCTATCCAACTCTGCATCCAAGGACTCTGCATCTAGTCGGATTTTTTGGCCTATATAGATGTATAGATGTACACGTGTAAGACCACGTGTTCCCTGGTGGTTCCCTGAATTGAAACCGATATCGTGTTTGAGGGACCCAACCACTCAGTCTTCTGCAGATTCATCTTCAGGCCTATTCTATCAGATACTTGACTCAGTATGTATTTAGTATTCATATATTATCTATTTCTATTGCTATACTGTGCTACCTACCTTTCCTTTACTCACAGCTTCCAAATCCCAGGTTGTCTGTAAGAGATTGCTTTGAGCGATAAGGCCGCCATTTGTTAGCATATTTTCAACAAGTATATTTTTTTGTAGTTTTTTTACTGTGCATAATAAAGAGTTACCTATTTATTATTATACTTTGATACTTTGCTGATTTTGCTTTGATCACACCAATACTAATATAAATGAAAAAAAACCATCTTTCAGATCTGCGTACCCTCTAAAACCGAATACCTGGCACCGAGTATCAGTGAGCCGTTCTGGTAAACATGCTTCTCTGCGTGTGCGCGCTTCATCAACCAATGACGTCCGCGTGACGTCACCTCGAGATGACGCGACTCGCTCGGTGACGTCACGCGGCGCCGCCCGCCGGCTCACTCTTAGGCAGCCGATGCTATTGGGAGGAGCGCCTCACCCCTTACCACCTAGACTGGCCTTAAGGACGTCTTTCAGTGGATGCGTAGGCCAAGTAAGTTTATAAACTTATTCTCTTTGATTTCATTTATTTATTTACTAGTTGTGCTCACGTGTTATAATGACCATATATAGAATAAATATTCAGTAATCTAACCCAAATGCCAAAAATAAATATCATCGTTGTAGCTTGAAGAATGATGATATTTCCATACAAACATTCATATCGCCTTTCAACCCTTATTTCGCATTATAAAGAAGCCTACAGGTATGTCCTTTCTCAGGGTCTAGATTATATGTGTATCAAATTTCGTTTAAATCGGTTTTGTAGTTTTAGCGTGAAAGTTAGACAGACAGACGGACAGAGTTACTTTCGAATTTATAATTTTTTTTTTACGGCCTCGGTGGTCTAGCCGTTTAGCACACCGCTTCACTTCCGAGGGTCGCGGGTTCGATTCCTCGTAAACAAACATTTTCTTTCATGAGTATGATTGTTTGTATCGATCGATTTGTTTACGTGTGTAAGTTTTTTTTATTATTTTCCGGCCTACTTCTAAGCTATTGGTCGCAGATGGCCATTACAGTTTCACCGGACGATTTGTGTGTCATTGTGCTTGTGAGTTTGATGTTACATGAAGAACTGTATGCTTTTTCCAGTTGGTAATAAATGATGAAGAGTTGGCTGTAGTGGCATCAGCGTTGGGTGGTTTGAATGTAGATAACTGCGACGAACCTAATAATACAACGTGTCTGTAAGTATTCTTTCTTTTATCTTTCTTGAAATAAAAATACTGCCATAGACATATTTATTTATCTTTCTTGATTTAACACGTTGAAGACCGTATTAAAAAATTCTTATTTCTCACATAGGCACCGGCATTTTTTATTGTTAATTAGGTATATTATTTTTTAAATGTCTTTGGTGTACAATCATTTGAGGTAGACATTATTTAACCCCTAGATTTATTTCAATTAAAGTGCCCACTGTTGATCTCTCGGTCCCATTGTGTAAATTTACTTTCGTTGCGGAGTGACCCACCGGTGGGCATGTATTTAACGAGTTAAATAACATAAACACACTGTTATAACGATTATCAAAAATGGGAGAAGTTTATCGTTATCATTTAAATCTATTACAGACACTTATGGTAAATCAGATCTGTTAGTTCAGAATGTGGTTTGATTCAAGAACAACAGACGCGAAATTCTGCTGTAATGTTTTCAAATGAGATTTTACATAATTATAACAATTTTCACCCGCGCGAGATCGTTGCGTAACATATTCCCCGTTTTCGCAACAATTTTCATTGCAGCTCCGCTCCTATTGGTCGTGGCGTGATGTTATATAGCCTTTAGCCTTCCTCGATAAATGACCTACCCAATACTAAAAGAATTCTCAAAATCAAATCTGTTTCTGAGAGATTATACCGAATTTCCAAACTAACAAACTTTACCTCTTTGTAATATAGATTTATTGTGTATACTGCACCGTATAGTGACCGCCAGGACATACATTCTATTGTATAATATTATAATACAATATAATTAGTAACCATAATCCAAAAGACCAGTCCATAAACAACACGTTCACGAATATGACGCTTTAATAAAGATTATATTTACCTTTCCAGCAACAGCGATTTATGTAGAGAAATACTTCAACCCATGTTACAATATCGACATAATATATCTGATAACAACATACACCATTCAATTGTACCCAAGAAAGGGTTCAGACCCAAATACCATAAAGTCAAATCGAAGAAACACAACCAACATTTGCATACAGAGAAGTACAAAAAGAAGAAGTATTTTGCAAGTAAGAAGCATGACTACTTGCAAGACACGAGAAGTAACGATGTGGTAACGGAGAAGCCTGTTTACGATGGACAAACATACATGCAAGTTAAATATTTAAATTCAAATGAGATAAATTGGGGTGATACTAATACATATCCAAGCTTCACTGGCACTGATAGTTTTATACATATTGATGATGAAGAAACTATGAAAAGGTAGGAAGAATTTGTAGTATTTGATTTTTAAATAGTTTAAGACTTTTAAATTACGGTATCGGTGGTAAGTTAGAATCTATAGGGATGGTACTAACTAAATTTTGAAAATATGTTGAGAAAACTTCGTAGAAACTTTAAAACGCATAGTCTAAAATGAAAAATTACGATTCAAGAAATCGATATCACAGGTCAGAACTACCCCGCTACAGTTGCTTCCATTATTTGAAAATTTGACATTTACACTTGTCTATTTAGTCTCTGATTAAAAAACAGACTATAAGTACTATAACCATATTTGTATACATATATATACTAATGACTACGTGAAATACGTATAAATAAATATTATTCGTCGTAAGGCAAATCGTCGTTGCCACAAGAACATAGCGTTTCACAGATTTAATAAGGAATTAACAATATTCAACAATCAATTATATTAAACTGTCCATATTATATTGAAATTATGACATGGCCTCATTCCGTCTTTGGCATGTGTAAGTTCTGCTTTTCAGTACTTTTCTACAATACTACGCACAGCATATATAACAAGCTGTGTGTAATGTTATTGTATTTTTATAGAACTTTAAACCCGACCGAAAACATTATAAGGGAAAATTGTATAATATAACAAAACTTGTTCTTTGCTATAGGTAATTTCATATAAGGATATGAAATTACCTATAAGTAGGCTATATGGCTATATGGTTAGGCTAGTATAAGGCTATATGGCTTTTACCAGGCAAGTAGGCCCTTGCCTGCTTGCCTGGTAAAAGCCATATAGCCTTTCTGACTAAATATGTATACAAGACACATAAAGTATATGTAAATATTAGGTGAGACTGAGGTATCCGTGTTTTAGAGTGGAAATCGCGAATTGGCAAACGTAGTGTAGGACGCCCTGCAACTAGGTGGAGCGACAACATACGTAGGGTTGCGGGTTGTAACGGTAAGAGAATGGAAGATCGTGCCCAGGCGTGCTCTGGGAGAAGCCTATGTACAGCAGAGGCTGATGATGATGATAATGAGGTATCTGTGCAGAGGATAATTTCTAGTGCAAGTGTGGTAAATGTGATGGTGTTTCAGGCTGGTGAGCTACTCGCTGGACATCAACATCCGGTTCCGCAGCTCTCGCGCGCGCGGCCTGCTGGTGTGGTCGGGCGGCCGCGGCCCGCCGCACGACTTCCTCTCGCTGGCCGTCGAGGATTCCGTGCTCGTGTTCAGGTGAGTACTCTCTGGATATCAACATCCCGGCGAAATTAGGAATTGGCTTACATCAGTCTGCAGATTTTGCCAAGCAGAAGGGAAAACGCCACTAAACATCCTATGTGGTAGTAGCCCACTCATGCATAAACGAAATATCTCCTTTGAAAAGTATACATTCTATCCTGAGGATATGAAAACCATCGCTCCTAAGAATATCCTCCACACAATAAATATGTACAGGTCACAGTGTATGTATGTTTGTCTGTATAAATAATGTGTGTAACAATGAAATATTATTTCCAGATATGATTTGGGTAGTGGCGAAGTGGTGATCATAGCGAATCACACGAAAGTGGACGACGGCTTGTGGCACAGAGCACGGGCGACCAGGTCAGTATTTTCTTTTATATATTTAATAATATAAACGCAAAAGTTTACAAGTATGGATGGATGGATGGATATTTCTTAGTCTTACATGCTATACTACTGAATGGATTTTAATGAAACTTTACAGTAATATAGCATATAAAACAGACACATAGGCTATAAATTTCATGCGAGTGGAACCGCGAGCACATTAATACAATCCCTGCATAATTCACAAAAACGCTATCTAATCAGTCCCAAGCTAATCAGACCTTGTGTTAAGGGTACAAGACAACTATCATACTCATTAACGCAATTGTTTGTACCGTGCGAGGATTCGAACCCGCGGCCATCAGAAGTAAAGTTGTTTAACCGCTAGACCAGCGAAGCCGTCAAAACTATGTTATTGTAATATGTACTTGTTCATGATTAAAGAAGTTATGTACAAAGGCAGGAGCTATACAGGAGTTGCCATGGCGCCTGCTAACTTTTGCAATGTGATATTTGCTGACAAAAAGTGAGCAGGCGTTGGAAGGGTGCTTGTGACACGATAAAGTTTATTACAATTTGTTACAAATGATATAAAATAAAATAAACAACAAATACTTTGCAGGAACAGACAAGCTGGTGTACTTGAAGTGGACGGCCTGGGGTCCGTAGGCAAGGTGTCGCCAGGAAAACTGAAACAGTTGAATACAGACAATGGACTCTACATAGGTAAATAACATTTTTTATTTACTGTACATACCTTTTTTTCTAACTATATCTTAGGCATACAGCACCTTCTCTTAGGCATAAGCGTTCACAGCTTAAAGCCCGCATGACGCCAGCAGTGTGCACTAGAGATGACATAATGCTTCCTTCTCTTTCTCACGTACTACACTATTGGTGGTATTAATACACATTACAATCTCCTTCCCCTTCTTGTACCTCGTTGCTAATAATCTCTGTCAGATAGACCACCACGCAATTCCTCCTGGGAGCTATGGTGGTAAAAATAAGCCACTATAGGCTAACTGACCTGACCTAATACTCATGTTATCATCCTCCACTGATGTCCTGCCAGCGTTACCGTTACCGTTACCATTAGCGTTATATTATATAAAGTTTGAGGCACAAGTTCTCATTACTAATAATCGCTTTCTCTTAATAAACCAGCTATAGTATAGTAGTAAATGTAGACGTGAAAAGTAACAAACAGACAGAAGGACACAGTATAGCATTTATAATACTAATATTATCGTAATTTATGTATATATTTTTTTATTTTCAGGTGGTCTACCATCAATAGAAATTAACAGCATGGGCAAATACAAGACCGGCTTAGTGGGATGCGTCTCGCAAATATCATTAAGTGGGGACTTCGATATACCACTGTCGTTATCAAAATTACCACACACAATCACGAACAATGTCGGCAGATGCACCCCATAAAACTGGGCAATTCATTTAAATGAATCGACCGGTTCATTTAAGTGAATCCACTTCATTTGTTACGAGCGCAGAATTCCTGGTTCATTTATTTTCATTATAAATGAACTGTTCCGCTTGTGTTGTCCAGGTTCATATATATTCATTCTAAATGAACCAGACAGTTATGCGCATATAATTATAATGTTAGGTGTGTTTTATTTACTAAGTTCATTTATTTTTTAACCAATTTATGGTTTGAAGTTTTTTTTTTTAATAAATGACCAATTGTTTTTTTAATAACTCCGTAACTACATATCAATGAATAAATTATCGGAGGCAATAAACTACAATATGATCGAGATAATATCAGCTGTCTTTACACGAGTTTACACAAAATAATAGTAATAATTGAATAATATACTCTTAGTCAATTTAGAAATAAGTGAACTGATGTCTTTTTGAATATATATTGTTTTTACTCCTTTATTTCTGATGAATCAATTAATAATTTAGACTTTATTCTTTCTTCCATTTCATTTCCATGGACAATGGAGTAACTTTTCAAAGTGCTTTACTATCTAGTAGATATGAAAAAAAAAACTATTTGTAATGTTAAAATAAATGAAATTCTAGTCGTACGAGTGGTTTGCACGCATTTTTGTTTCTTCATTTTGATTTTATATGAAATAGCGTGTCACAAACTTGTTACTATGTGAGTGTATTTTATAAAATAGTTCAATAAGTATACATACGAGTATATAGCGTTTGTATATCGAAATTTTCATATGGACGTGGTTTAGATTATTGTAAGTAGATTAATAACAATAGTGTTTGATAATTGAGCTTTTTATATTAAGTGTTAAGCGTGATCGAGGTTTAGTTTGGCAATTCATTTCGTTCGCTTTAATAATGACAAAAACATATAAATATTTTAGCACCGCTTTAGTATTAATAATCATAGAGTATATTTAACAGGTAGTGTAATTAAATGCGCTTTGTATGTATAAATTGAAAAAAGGGTTTAGGGAAAATGATGCAATGCTCTGGCGTAAAGTGTAATAGATTATACAGAATGTTTAGACTAAATAGAAATTATACCAAAACATATTGTGGTTACCACTTACCACCAAGTCGGCCGTCACTTTGTTACGGCATCATTAATTTTTTCAGCACATACATTTCATTAGGCAAACTATAAAATAAAACCTTTCGAAATAAACATAACACATTTCACATCAATATCTATATATCTATATCTCTTAAAACCGACTGAATGTTTAACGGTGATTGCAGTTTTTCTTTAAACCCTTTTAATTTGCAATTTGGATATTTAATGAATACGACTTTTCGGAAACCCTTTACGTAACCCTTATTTGTAAAAATTACATTAAATATAAAAATATATGAAACATTCGATTCATTAAATAGTCAAAGGGCGAAATGTATTTCCAAATGATATAATATGAACCCGTCGCTGGGAATTCATTTACACCAATAAGTTTGTCAATTACCTACATAAATATTTCACAGGGTGTGAAAGGAAATTATAGAAAAGCATATCTTGATTGTATTAATATTAATTATTACATGATCATGTTCGGTGTTTTATTGTCGGTATTAATTCATGTATATCGAAAAAAAAAATACAATTCGAATATCCATATAATTGGTTGATTTATTCTATTTATTTATATTATTGGGACTATTTTTTTAGTAGGAATGGTAGACTGTAAAAAGTATGGGTACCTCAGTATCATCTATTTGAACTAAGCAGCTTGCTTTGTAAGCAGTGTTTCGGTGGTGAAGTGCTGATTAGTCAGTGAACAGGATAAGAGGCATGACATCTTAGTTCTCTGGAATAATAACGCATGAGTGGGATTTCTTTATTTATTCTTTTACACACAAAAGTATATACATGGCGGTCTTAATGCCTAATGGCATTCTGTACCAGTCAAACGTCGCGCTGATCAGAGATAATAGAGCGGTGCACTCTAATAATTGATATAAAAAAAAAATTGATAAATACAGAGAAATAATATGGTATGGTATCACGAGTGTCACATGATATCGACGTTGCGACGGTTACCATGTAGGTATCTACCATTATACTAATTAGATTCTTAAAAAATAAACTTTAGTTATTACGGAAACTCTCATTTTTAAATTAATGGATATTGTACTTATTTTACGATATTTTGATAAATCTATATTTAAATTATAAAATATTTAAAGGGCTTAACTGAAAAGCAGCACCGATATTCATGGTAACAGTGTTATACTGGGTCGTGACCTGCATTAGCTCTTAACTTATTTTGATTTCTTTGTATTGTTATAACTTTTATTAACATCTTTAGTTTTTTTTTAATGAATAAAAATAGTAATTAATTAGATATCGCTCGTTAAATTTATTTGTTTACTTGTCTTTTATTTTGTAATAGTCAATAAAGTTAAATATATATACTGTTCTATTTTCAGTGCAGTTTCAAATTACTTATGTAATTTTTATGTAATTTTTTTATCAATATTTATCTCTAATATTATATAAATTTTCAGGATTTATATAATTGTTTTTTTTTATTAATTAATTAATACTTTTTATTAATTAATTAATATTTTTTATATTAGTATTTATTTATGTATTTTTTTTGATTAGTTAACGTATTCGCGTACGAACAAGCGTGCTCTTCAGTGTTGCCGCAATATTTAATTAATTACTGAATCTGCAATATATACCTATAGGTATGATACCTTTATAGACTGTTTTAGCTTAAATAGACGTTAATTACCAACTTATGAGCATTACATATACGCTTATTTGTCATATCTGAGGTACAAAAAAGAAATACAAAAAAAAATACGAATATTTATAAAGTTGTGCAATTTTATTCTTAATTAAAGGGATTATTACATTATCAAATAACAGATTTTAATATCAATGTAAGGTACAACAAAACAGTGGCGATACAAACTATATCTTAAAGGAAAATTACTTGCTTACAAACTCTAGTTACAACGAGAGAAATACACAAACATAATAATTCTAAATTTAATATTTAAATCAAAAAGAAAGAATACTTCAACAATTATTATAGATAATGTAATACTCCCAATAAAATTCTAAATTTTACAAAACAAATGACTAATGTAATTATATTATTATTTTAACAAAAACTTATTGTATTTATTTGACTAATGTACCTAATTTTATTTCATTATACATTCCATTACCAAAGACTTATAGTTTTTTATATGTGAATTGTTTACATATATATTACATTTGTTTGGAGTATATGTAGACCTACTTGTGACATATTAATAGCTTGACTAGTGTTAGTTTTGTATGTGAAACCTGTCCGATGTATAATATGCCGTTATTTGTACAAAATTATATCAATAAAATATAATTAAAATGTATAAAGGTGTTTATGTAATACTTTCTTTTTTTTTTTTTTTTTTTTTTTCTTTTTTTTTTTTTTTTTTTTTTTTTTTTTTTTTTTGTTTTTTTTTTCTCAATTGTGGGTAGGAAAGTAAACACACGTTTGTTTTTGCTCCTCTTTATTTTTATAGTTTTTAATTATTATTGCATTTAAATTAATTCAGTTTTTAGCTTACATGTATTAGATTTCTTTAGTCCACTCTGGCAGCTGTATTTTTCACCCACATTTTCTCTTAAACATTCCTACAAGTTACAATCACCGTGCATTATGGATCACCTATTACTTCTTCGCAAGAATATGGACGACCTTACTAAGTTGTTCTCAACCAAGCTGGCGACTTTTGAAGATAACTTAAATGCCCACAGTTCAACAAGCTCTTAGACTGATATCAATTCTTTGTCAAGTGAGTTTCACACATTTAAATCCTTCATTTGGAAAGCCGTGTCTAGTTTGAAAGCACAAATGGAACTTGTTATGATGACTCTAGACACTGCAGAAATGAGATCAAGGACTAATATTTTACTCCTTCATGGTGCAGCTGAGGTTAATGAGGAGAATGTCTCTGATTTCTTTCTGGCTTTAGCCCAGCATAAACTTCAACTGAACAACATATTTGCAACATTTGGTAGCTGTATGCGTCTTGGTAGGAAGATACAGAACAAACCTCGTCCAATTCTTGTACGCTTCAATAACATCTCCGAACGCTCTCAAGTCTGGTCTGCTAAGAAGTATCTCCGAGGCAGTGGTTTGACATTGTCAGAATTTCTGACCAGTACTAGACATGCTGTATTTGTGGAAGCGCGTAAGGCCTTCGGCGTCAAGGGTTGCTGGACTGCTAATGGTAAAATTATAGTGGTGTGTCCGGATGGTTCACGCAAGAGGATTACGACGATGGTTGAACTAAGCTCCATCAAAGCGCTCTTTGACGAAACGGAGACTGCGCCAGCGGGCCCCGGCGCGAAGACCTCGAATGTGAATGCCTCAACTGCTCGTGTGACTAACAAGCCGCCCCAAACTAGATCCCGAGCTCAAGCTAAGCCAATTCAAGGTGGTAAATAGCTCATTTTGGCCTTATCTCTCGCATTGTGTTTATCCCAGTCCATTTATCTATGGCATATACCTATTTGGATACGTTTATCGTTGCTCGTAGCACATATGTAGCGATATCTTCTATAAAGTATGTAATAGTACTGCACTTGCGGGTAATTGTATTATTTTTTGTTACTTAATTTTATTTTAGTAGTTTTAATCTTGTTTTTGCCAATTGCCATTGTAATTTCTGTCTTATTTTCCCGTACTGACGTTTCATTATATACATTTTTTTTTTTGTAATATTATTTTACGACCATGGAAGCGTAATCACTTTGAATTTTTTAAACAACCATTCACTTTTATTTTAACTGTCTTGTTACATTTACGCTTTCTTGTAGTACAAGTTTAGTTTAATAGCACAGCTATTTTGTATCTATAGGTATTTAGATAAATCTTTCCTTTTGTTTTAATTTTAGTTAGTTACACATTATAATAGCATTACGGTGTTGCCTTGTATTTAATATTCAGCTGCCGGCGAGTGGACTGATGTGGAAGTCATTACTTAATATTTATATTTATACGGATTTATATTTCTTAATTAGTCTTTGGGACATATATATATATATA